GGAGTTTAACAGTTCTTGGTCTCCTGGTCTAACTTAATCCAGCAGGCAGGCAGGCGCAACTTGGTTTGAACTTGGCCCGAGGAGGTGACTGGAATCAGCAGCTGGAGTTCTGACTGAGGGGCAGGTTTACAGGCCAGCAAGCAAGTAGGCAGGTGTGTTTTTTCAAGAGGACTGGAGGGTGGGCAGATGGGCAGGCAGATGGGCGGTGTGTTAAGGGAGAGACTGTCATTGGAACCCTACCTCTTTGAGTTCTGTGTGGGGAAGCCCAACAAGAGAAGTCTCTCCACATTAATGGGATCCAAACACAAGTGGAGTATGTCTCTAAGATGGGAAAAGACACACTCACTCTGGATGGTGGTATGATATAACAGATGGGCAGGATAATCAAATAAATAAATAAAATAAATAAATAAGATGCTGATGAGGGGGATGGAAACGATGTCCATGGCCACATTGGACAACTCCAGGCATAGGACTAGTTTCCTAGCCCAGTAATGGAGAAGCTCTGACTGGTGGGGCTGAGGGGGCTCAGCCAGATATTCCCGCACCATCATCTGTGCCAAATCCTGCTTAGCCAGCTGTCTTTCCTCTGAGGCAAGTGCCAAGGTCACCACAGAGCTCCAGTAATATGGTGGTGAATGGAGCCATCACCAGGTGAAGTCCTTCCCTGTGGTTCGAGCACCTTGCCCCTCATGGTCAGACATTCCCGTCATCCCATGCAAGCGTTGTGCCCCCAATGCCCTGGAGACCTCAGTGGAGAGCTCCTTTCTCCACTCATGGAGGTCTGAGTTGCATGCTGCCAAGCCCCCCTAGATTTGAGGGTCACACAGGCAGGCCATGCGGTAAGCCCTGTCACTGTAGACAGGATGGAGTCGCTTCTGCACACCTGCCTGCAACCTCTTCACCAAAGCCCTGGTCTGTGGAAGGAGGGAGGATCCTGGTATCACAGCAGTCTCCAGGGTCCAATCAGGGGCATGAATCAGGGGGATGATCTGCCCCAGGCTTGCCATATAACCACACAAGATGGGCTTGAGGAAGGGCTTGAGCACCTCCACCATCTGGGAAAGGGTCAGTCAATCTGTGGCACTGATGCCCACCTCTCTCCCCCCAGGCAGAATGGCCATGGAAGACATGTCCTCCAAAATGGCCTTCTGCTCCACCAGGTGGGACATCATGATGTAGGTGGAGTTCCACCTGGTGGGCAGGTCTGTCAGGAGAACGTGGGTCTCCTGGCCCAACTCCTCCTGCCTCTCACGCAGCCGGCAGGCAGCTTTCAGGCTGTGGGAGAAGTGGCCCACCAGTTGGTGGCATTGCTCCAGGAGTGCCCATGTCTCCCAGGTGCCTGTGTCCCACTTGGGCTTGACGTGGCTGCCCAGGCCGAGGGCATTGAACACCACAAGGTGTAATTTGTATGCCATGCGTACGGTGCCCTCAAAGCCCGCTGCATTCAATGCCACACACATTATGCCCAGCATCTGTGATCATGTGGCCACGGGTCACCTCCCCCTCCGGTGCCCACTCCTGCAGTGCAGACAGGAACTCATCGGCGATGTTCCTTCCCGTAGCCTGAGCTTTCATGTGCCACGCCTGCAGCAGAACAGACATGTAGCCTGGGGGAAGGGGAAGGGCCTCCCCCTGCAGCTCTGCCATGCTGACCTCCACTCCACAGGTCCACTGTGAAGTGCACCTTGTGCCCCCCCAGCTGTGAAAAATGGTCACGGACCACCTCCCTCACAGACTCATAGAGCAAGGGCAGCACTCTAGAACTGAGAGTTCTCTGTGAGGGGAAGTCATACCAGGGGGCAAAAAAATGCAGCAAGCAGCGGAAGGCTTGGGATTCCACAGTGGAGAGTGGAAGTCCAAGCGGGGCAATCATCTCAGTGATGAGACAAGTGGCTGCCTGCTGGGACTTGCCCTTTGATTGCCGGCTGAGGGTCATGGCGTACTCAATGGGTGCCACTTTGTGGAGTGCGGCCTGCCTCATGCTCCCATCCCCAGAAACCCGTGTCTGCCCTTTTGAAAGGAGGCACCTCCTCCTGCCTCCCTTTTGCCTCCCCTGGAGCTGCTCTTTTCCCTCTCCCAGACGGCATGGACAAAGTGTCTTCCCTGGACAGGAGCCTTGGGTTGTGCCTCTCCAGATGTTGGTGGAAGGTGGTGGAGGACAGGTGCCTGGGCTCTGACCCCCTCCAGACCACCCCAAGGCAGATATTGCAGCATACCAGCCGTGGGTCATCACTGAGCCCCGTGAAATGATCCCACATGGCCCTTCTGCCATGTTTGCCCAAATGAAGACCCACTGCCTGTCCCTGACTACTGGCTGGGAAGAGCTCTGTGTCCCAGAGGTGCTGATGGAAGGAGGGAACAGATGACTCTGGGGACAGGGGTGGGAGGGTTGTGAAGCCTGCCCTGCCATTACTGGTTCCAACTCAGACTGAGTATCTTTGGAAACCAGTAACTCATCAGACTCCTCTAGGAAGAGGAGCGGCAGTTTTTTGGCACCTCTGGAAGCTTTGGTTCCCTGCCTGCCTACAAGGACATCAGAGGAGGGACAGTGGCAGCACTGGTGGTTATCATAGATGTGATTGTGCACGTGGTAATCATGATGATGGTGCTGCTACCTAGCCTGCATAGCTTCACAGCCTTCTTCCCCTTGGATTGCCTCTCAAGAAATCCCTTCGTTTTCTATTGCCTGCCTAACAAACCAACTAAACAAATAAAGCAATGGAGATTGAGGAAGGAAACTAATAGAGGGTGTTGTGTAAATTTTATTTTTAGAATGATGGTGGTGTAATTCTTTTACTAAAATGTGAGCTGCCTGCCTAAACAAAGCCCCCGCCCAATATAATGTAATTAGGAAAATTTCCTCCACCAACTCATTGTGGCAGAGAAACCAAAAAAGTCCAAAAAGGAAATCCGTGCCAGCTAAGTCTCTCTCTCTCTCTCTCTCTCTCANNNTCTAAAATGAACTTTTGAAAACTGAATAATCCTCCCACCTAGACACGCACACACAACCAATTTGGGGAAAAGAAAAAATGATTCTCCTAAAATGAAGTTTTGAAAACTGAAAAAGGAAAAGAAATTCCAGTGTCACATGACGACAGTTCCCCCATCACCACCGGACTGGGCGACATACACACACAAACAAGCCTTCAGGAAAAAAATGTTTGATTGATTTGAATTTGAAATAAAATTAAGCCCTTCCGAAGAAGTAGCCTAAGCTACCTGGAATCCCCCAAATTCCCAGTAAAGTTGATGATGATGGATGAATGATGATGAAAAAGAAAAATATAAGTCTTTGCTTTGCTGCCACAAAAACGAAACTGCAGGAACACCAGCAAGCCAGCGAGCAGCAACTATTCTCACTCAGGAGAGCAGGAAAAGAAGTAGGGAACAGCCGGACAGGAAAAGCTTATATGAAGTGTCTGTAAAAGTACTGTAGATACTACCTTTCAGCAGCTCTATTTGCTGCTGAACATGCCAATCCAGGATCTCTGTTCTGATTGGCCGGAGCTTCGAAATGGTGCTAGCAAGCTTAGAGAGGCCCCCCACGGAGCTTTGAATTGGTGCTAGCAAGCTCAGAGGGGCCCCCCAAAAGGAGTAACGAATATAGATGAATATGAATGGATGGACAAACAAAATATTTATCAAGCCATATTCATCCTGATTTAAAATTTTACAAATATGAATCAATGAATATATGATGAATTGGCTATATTCATCAGAAAAACTGATCTGTTTTTATATTAGTCCCCATCTCTAGTGATAATACAATGTTCGTGAGTGGCTTGGTTTTGATCGGGGAATTAAGGGCCCATTAGCTTTACAAAGGACCTGCAAATAAAATACAAAACACATAGGCGGGATGTGGATCAACACAGTTGCCCGCTCATTTGTACTTCCCATGGAGGTATTCTTATGAGGTCTTCCAAATAAGCACATGCACTTCAAAATTTATTACTATTCCCTGCCTAGTTCATGCTGTGCCATTTAGGTGGCAGTGATGCCATGCATACACTCCAAGAGAAACAGAAAGATAGGAGTAACTGGGGGGTGAAAGTAGAGAAAAGTGCAAATTTGCTTCTACAATCAATTGTGTGTCATGTGGGGCAGGGACAGAGGTTGTAAGGGTTCCCTGTGGGTATTCTTTATTTCTAATTGTCTGTTTTGTTGCTTATCGCCTATATAGTAAATAGGAACAGGAAAATCTTCATGATTGTGTGAGAATATCATCACAGAAAAAAGTTCTCCTTGTCAAAGCAAATTAGTTTGTATTCTTGAAGGCTTTCACGGCCGGGATCTGATGGTTGTTGTGGGTTTTTCGGGCTCTTTGGCCATGTTCTGAAGGTTGTTCTTCCTGACGTTTCACCAGTCTCTGTGGCTGGCATCTCCTGAAAAAAAAGATAAAAGCTGTTCCCACTATCCAACAAACAGCAACAGTCCTGGAAAAAAAGACAAAAGCTGTTCCCACTATCCAACAAATAGCAACAGTGCATGAACAGTGTTCCTACTCCAGTCCTCTGAAGATGCCGGCCACAGAGGCTGGCAAAATGTCAGGAAGAACAACATTCAGAACACGATCAAAGAACTCAAAAAACCCACAATAATCATCAAATTAGTTTGCTTTGTTTTGTGACCAATCCTAAGCACAAGAATCCTTTGAAGCTTTATTTGCAGCTCAGGGTATTGGGGCGTTCTGTGTTAAATATCCCTTCAAAATAAGAATAGCACATGAGCAAGGCTTTATGAACTCCATTCCATGTAACTTTATGTTGAAAACATTGATCTACTTGGGATGGGTGGAATATATTTTCTTTTTGGATATACAAAGATTGCTTTTTAAATACATATGCACACATGCAGAAATTTTAGTAGCTAAGAACCAGTAACAATGGAGGGATCATTTTATAAAAACTCTGGTTATTTACTTTCAATAATTTACTAAACCGGTTTTATGGTTTTTCTGATGAAAATATTTCTGATTTTATTTTATAGTGCTCTGAAATTATAATGCTCTCTGCTGAATATATTCTAGATGTACATGTGTAAATGCCCTAGGTTCTCTTGAAATTTCCAATCTAACTTGTGGGCCAAGAAATCAGGGGACCATTTCACCAAATTTCTCCAGGAGGAAGTACTGTCCAGAATTCACCATTTTTGTCGCCAGCACCATCCTTAGAAGCAAGTTTTCCTTTTGTGTGTGCAAAGAACATTTTTATGACAATATAATTTTTATGACAATACACGGCGGGGCTTCCCTCCACATCACAATTGTTTATATCAGAAACTTGTTCAACTGGTGGACCTGGAGACAAATTTCCTGCCCAGTAGTCTTTTCAGGGCATCCTTCACTTCGCTGTTCCTCAAGCTATAGATTAGTGGGTTCAGCATAGGAATCACCATTGTGTAAAATACAGATGCAACTCTGTCCATATCCCCTGACAGTCTCTGAGTAGGCTGACAATATATGATCAGAAGGGTAGCATGGAATATGGTGAAGGCTGTGAAGTGTGAAGCACAAGTGGAGAAGGCTTTGTATTTCCCTTTGTTGGTCCGGATCCCTGATACACAAATAATAATGAAAATGTAAGACATGAGAATGATTGTTATGGTGCTGGTTTCCACAAAGGTAGCAAAAATGAAAATCAGAATCTTGTTGATTTGGGTGTCAGAGCAGGAAAGAGCTAACACAGGTGAAATATCACAAAAGAAGTGATGGATGGCATTGGGCCCACAGAAGGCAATCCTAAAAGCAGAATGAGTGTGAACAAAGGCACAAACAACACCCCACATATAAGAACCAGCTACTAGTTGGACACAGAGTTTTCTTGACATGATCCCCAGGTACAATAAGGGATTACAAATGGCCACATAGCGATCGTATGCCATTGCAGCCAAGAGAAAAGACTCAGCCACAACAAAAGTGACAAACAGGTACATCTGCGCAGCACAAGCAAAGAAAGAGATTTCTTTTGCCTCATAGATGATGCCCATGAGCAGTCTGGGTGTGACAGATGAAGAATAGCAAAGGTCAACAAAGGACAGATGGCTGAGGAAGAAGTACATTGGGGCATGCAGTCTAGACTCAAGTCTGATTAACAAGATGATCCCAAGGTTCCCCACCAAGGTGACAATATAGATCACGAGGAATACCAAGAACAGGAAGATCTGGAGCTCTGGGTAGTCTGAGAATCCCAGGAGGATGAACTCTGTGACTGGAGTGCAATTTTCTCTCTCCATTTCTTCAGATCATATCTTGGGTGTCAGAACTGAGAAGAAAGATGGTAGTTCCTAGATAGCGAAAAGACTGACCCAGCTATAGAATATAATTAGCTGTGGATCCTTTATTTCTTCAGAGAAGAGCACTGTGGAAGACAGAATCAAAATTCAAAAAGATCTTGATAGACTCAAGCCCTGGGCTGAAAACAACAGAATAAAATTTGACAGTGCAAAGTCCTGCACCTAGGAGGCGGGTGGGAGAAAAGCAAACACACAGTTACTAGATGGGGGACAGTAATGCCTCAGCAATACTACATGAAAGAGGGATCTTGAAATTGTTTTAGATCACAAGCTGAATATGATCCAACAGTGCGATGTGGCTGCAAAAAAAACAAAAAACAGCAAATGCTATTTTAGGCTGCATTAACACTAGTCTCCGAATCTCATGAAGTACTAGTCCCCTGCTATTCAGCACAGGTTAGACCTCATCTTGAGTACTGTGTCTGGTTCTGGACATGACATTTTAAAAAGGATTCAGACAAACCAGAACAATTTCAAAGGAGGGCAATAAGGATGATCAGGGGACTGGAAACCAAGCTCCATGAGGAAAGACTGAAAGAACTCAGCATGGTTAGCCTTAAGAAACCTGAGGGGGAGGTGTGACAGCACTCTTCAAATACTCTGAAGATTGTCATACGGAGGAGAGGCAGAACTGTTCTCAATCATCCCACTATGCAGGACACATAATAATGGTCTCAAGTTACAAGAAGCCAAATTTTGGTTGAATATCAGGGGGCAAAATCCTACCTGGTTGAGCAGTATGATAATGGAACCAATTCTCTCAGGAGGTGGTGAGGCATTCAGGAAAAAGTTAGACAACCATATGTCAGATCTGCTTTGATTTGTATTCGTGCATTGATAGCCTTATAGCCCCCTTCCAACTCCATTTTTCTATGATTCCATGAGATCTGAAGATAGAAAGATTACAAGGCGAACAGTCCTACCTTTGCTGGTCTCTCCAATTCTTCTGGAGGTCTGGTATCAGCAGCTGCTCGCTGTCTGCGTACTTCTTATGGGCTTCTCAGTGTTACATGGAAATGAGAAGCAGTCTCTGAGAACCTGTAAGTCAAATCAACACAACACTCAGATAGAGCCCCACAGCTAATTTTTGGGAGAGTGGCTGAGAATGACCGACACTTGAGGAGGAACCTTTGGACAGCCAGATATTTTAAACTACAATTTTCATAATGACTTACCACTGAGTAGTTCATGGGGAGAGGAAAAGGTTCTTTGCCTCTAACCTGAACAACTAGAATTCCTCCTCATATAGTTGCAGTTGCATCAAGCATCACAATTGAGAAACAACTCTTTCATGATGACACATTGTTCAGGGGAAGACTGCAACCTTTAGACCATGAATGGTAAGAAAAGGTGGAGTTTCAATATATTTCTATGTTTAAAAAACAAACAAACAAAACCAGATTTAAAGCTGTATTAAAAGACTGGCTGAACTCCTGTTTAAGTTCTATGGTAAAGAACTGCTGAATAATTCAATGGTTTAGGTATCTGGCTACACAACCAGAGGTTACAAGCAATTCCCCAGTGGGCCTCCTTGACAAGGGCTGGACCTGATGATCCATAGGGTCCCTTTCAGCTCTACAGTTCTAAGTGGAGGAGGAGGAGGAGGCTGGAAGAGTTTTCATACAACATTTTTCCATCATAGGCAAGACACCTATCTGCTCTAGTCTTTTCAATATCCACATATTGCTCACATTGTAGACGAGTGAGTAAAAATGGTGCAAAGTAGCAATCTGTGTTGATCGTGTCAAAATGGACATATAATGCAAAAACAAAACTAAAATTCTAACCAAACAGAAAGGTGGAGAAAGGAAAGAGAAGAAAGGAGGAAGGAGGGCTTTTTTTCCCCCTGTCCTACTAAGAAGACTTTTCCTACAGAACTGGTCAACATTTTCCATGCCTACCTATAACCTGTTCGTCTTACCTGGAGAAGTATTTTCCAGGGAAGAAGTAGGAGAAGCCCAGGACCACATGCAGAAGGAGAGACCACTGAACTTTGGATTTAGAAGCAGAAACTCCTAGTATGGGGGCTTCTGGTTCTGGTTCGAGGAAAGAACAGTGTGCTGAGTTCCACTCCCTTTTGAACCTCTAATCTTTCAAACTTTTTGTAAAGAAGCTTTATTTTTCACTGTTTTAACAAATTACAGTGTTTGTGCTGAGTTCCACTCCCTTTTTAATCTCTAATCTTTCAAACTTTTTATAAAGAAGCTTTATTGTTCACTCTTTTTACAAATTGGTAAGAGAAGAGTTTGAATTTTAAAAGGGAAGGAAGTTAACACTGAGCTTCCTTCCAGAAGACACAAGCAACGAAGAAAACTAAGAAAAAAACTGAGAACAACTCAAATGCTGACTCCCCTGCCAACTACCTACCATAAATCCTCAAAACAACTCTGTAGTAATGACCTGTTAAATGCTGGAAACATAACTGAACTCTTTCCTCTTGCCGAAAGCTGGAGCTGCTGGAAGAAGCAAACTCTCCCAACTCCTCTGCTGCACAGTCTCCCAAAGAGCAAGAGGAGCCTTCAGATAGTAAAGGAAGAGAGGTGTTATTTTCCAACTTGGAGCCCACTGCAGACACCAAATCTCCCAATCCTACAACTGCAGAGAGCATGGGAGGAATCTTAAGTGCAAATTTAGTTAAAATGGTAGGAGATCAATGCCTCCTTACAGGAGAGACAGTCCCAGCTGTTTCCCAACAGCTGAACAATCTAATCAGTAAAATGGACACACTAGAAGAGCTGTTAAGGAGAAAATTAGAAGGACCTGAGGTTGTTGAGACAGTTGCAGCCAGAGTCTACCTGTAAAAAGGAGGCAACTCTCCCTGCAACACAAAAAGGGACCTCAACTCTGCTAGTGTTTCTCATTCAAAGCTGAGTGTAAGGACCACTGATATGCCCAATACAGAGGGGAGCCTGCAATGGGGAAAAAACTGAAATTGCACTAGAAATAATGCATACCCTGGTGAACACAGGCCTCTGGAGAAACAGGCAGGCAGTTATACTCTCTTTAAGCCTTCTTCTTTGGTGAGAAGCCCATGACAACAATCTTGAGGACTATGAGAGACTCCCAAATTCCTTCCAAAAATGGAGGCTAGTACTGACATTCCGACAATCTACCATCCCACTGATGTTACTTAAAATGAGAGGCGTTCTAGCCACCTTTGGCATACATCCAACCAGAGTCTTTCAAGATGAGAGCAAGAAACTGCTCAGGCAAAGGAAACCCAGATGTTTCTTGTTGGATGAGGGCTCCTTAAAGACACAGAAGCACCTGTGTAGAGACACTGATTTTGTGTCTGGAAAGGAAAGATCTACATATAAATATTAAATCTGGAGCTGATGCCCTGGTGACTTGATTAAAGAGATGCGGCAATCGGCATGGCTACTACTAGATAAAGCCAAACCCCTCAAGGATTTTATCAACTCTAACCCAATGACAAACACCTACCTGACCAAGTGGGACAATCCCCTTTACACTAGAGAGACACAGGAAAGCTATAATGGCAAAACATGGCTCCTATGGACTATTATTCCCCTTCGCTGCTTGAATCCTCTCCCTCTAAAGATTGTCATTTACTAGATGTGAGCCACTTTGCATTGGGGGTGAGAACAGCAATGGAGGAAAGGAAAGGAATCTCATTGAACTATTATCCTCTGCCAGTAGAGAGGAAACAATCCCAAGGTCAGATGGAATAAAAGACCAAGAAAGCAATGGGAGATCAGATATAATAGTGTGATGGTGCAATTCTGAAAACAACCAGAAATAATCTGCCTCAATTGAGCTGCTATCATGGAACGTGGCAAGCTAAGCACAATGTATTGCTCATATTCCTGACATCCCCTTCTTTCACTGTAAATATGACATTATTCTCACATAAGAAACTTGGTCTGATGCAGATCTAGTACTAGATGGGTTTAACTCATTTAAGGTGAATGCAGCACCAGGGTGGGGACTGGGAAGATTGAAACGGGGCTTTCATTTATTCATTTATTCATTTATTCATTTATTTATTTATTTATAATTCCCTCCCTCCCTCCCTCCCTCCCTTCCTTCCCTTTTATACCACCTATCTGGCCAGTAAACTTACATTTAAACCACAAAGCTAATGTGACATCTTACTTAACAGAAGCAAAACATTTATTTATTTAATTAATTTATTTTATTTACAATATTTTTAGCCACAACATTAGCAGTGGTCTCTGGGTGATGTACAACAATATTAAAAATTTAAAAACATTGAAATAGACAATACTATAAAATTGTCCTATATTGAAAACAATTATTACAATATTAATATTAGTAAGTCCTGCTGATAATTAAAGGTATATTTACTCCCAACTTGTAGAAAAACAGAACTTGAGGAAAACTGGATATCCCTAGAAAACTATGTAAGGGCTCTTATCTTGGAACATCCAGATGCCCTGATCCTGCTAGGTGGTGACCTAAATCCTTTTATAGGTTCAAATGATGATTTTCTGGCATCTAAATTTACGATGATACTTAGCACAACAAATGAAAAGCTAGAGTGCCTTAAATAAGAGAGGACATCTAAACTTCCAAGTGCTTCCATATTTAGAGGGGAATCCTTTTCCCCTATTCCTACGTATGTGGTTAGATTGCAGAAACCAACATCTAGAATCCAGATATTATACTATGATTTAACCATTGGAAATGGATGGTTGCTGGGTAAGATGGTCCTTCACACTGGCACAAAGCCTGAAGCAGATTCTAACTCAGAAAAAATCTGATGGATTATCTTGGTCCATCAGGAAGCTAGGTTGACCTAGATCCTATAGCCATCTCTGAAAATTTCATACAAAAGCTTAGTGCATATCTTGTTCACTCACATAATGAAAAACTCCATAAATCATATAACCACTCCAAACAATGGTTTAACCATAGCTGTATGGTACCAAAAACAGCAGCAACAGACTCAGAAAAAATCTGATGGATTATCTTGGTCCATCAGGAAGCTAGGTTGACCTAGATCCTATAGCCATCTCTGAAAATTTCATACAAAAGCTTAGTGCATATCTTGTTCACTCACATAATGAAAAACTCCATAAATCATATAACCACTCCAAACAATGGTTTAACCATAGCTGTATGGTAGCAAAAACAGCAGCAACAACAACACTAAACTGGTGTTACCAACAATACTTGAGATCAGAAGACCAGGCTAAAAAAGACACCCTCTCAAAACTGCTGATACAGAAAAAGAGACTACAAACGGTTGATACAATGTAACAAGTAAGATCACACTAGAGAACTATGGGGGAAGCTGTTAGAAGCAGCAAATGAGAACAACACATCTCCTTTTTGGAAATTAATCTCAGGCATACTTTTGTTGTTGTTGTTTAGTCGTCAAGTCGTGTCTGACTCTTCGTGACCCCATGGACCAGAGCACGCCAGGCCCTCCTGTCTTCCACTGCCTCCCAGAGATGGGTCAAATAGGCAGACTAGCAGAGCCCACATCTCCAATACAGTATCCTCATGCATTCCACCAGACAAATGGCTACCCTTTTTCATAAAACTGTATGAGGACGTTTGCGGCGGTCCGGCCGCCACACAGGTGCGAAAGAATCACACAGGACACAAAAATCAGGACCAAATGGGTTCCAGAGCCTAACAGTCAGCCGTGGTGTATTGTGGCTTGAGGGGAGAATAAGCTCCTGCCTGCACGCCTGTAGCCCTTTTTTTATTCAACACAAAATGTCCTCCAATACAGGGGTTATACAGCCAATCGCCATACAGTATACACAGCCAATCGCCATACAGTATACAAACTTACATAACATATCTTCTCACTGAGCATGCTCAGGGTAGTACAACATTACCATATATGGCATATAACATAAGTTCCCTAGCTTGCTGGTGTATGTAACTGCTTCACTTAAACATAATGGCGTACTCCCACAGACGTTATCCAACCTCTCCCTTCAATGATGCTAGAACGCACTTTCAGATGGTTCCCTGTAACTCCAGATGAGTTCAAATCCCATATATAGACCAAATGAAAAATGCTAAAGCCCCTGGCCATGAAGGTAATCCACCAGAATTTCTAAACGAAAATAAGATGTGGTGGGCCTCCCTTCTGGCACCTCTCTTTACACATATTGATGACACTAGCCATGTTCCCAAATCATGGGAAATGGACAAAGTAGTTCCATTTTATAAAAAAGGTAAAAGAGAGGATCTATCAAATTATAGGCCAATTAGTTTGCTGAATATTATAAGTAAGCTATATGCAAGGCACCTCCTGGACAAACTTCTGGACTGATTTGAACTAGAAAACATTACTGGAGTGGAACAGGAGAGTTTTAGGCCAGGGAGATCTACGATAGATCAGTGCCTAATTGTTCAACAACTTACTGAGAAATATTTTTCTAAGGGAACAACTTCACTCTATGCAATCTTTGTTGACTTCAAATTGGCATTTGACTCTATATCTAGAACATGACTCTGGGACAAACTACAAAAATCTTCTATTGATAGAAGACTTCTGTATCTCATAAGGGCCTACATGGGCCTGAGACTCAGATGCAGTAGACAAGGGCATCTTACTGAATCCATTCAGAAACACAGAGGCATTAGGCAAAGCTGCTTACTGGCACCAGCTATTCATTTTGTATAGAAATAATCTATCCAACTGGCTTACTACCCCTGATCTCCACCTTCCCAAACTTGATAACAGGATGGTTCCAGGGCTACTATACACTGATGATGCAGTGATACTCTCCAGAACCCCTGTTGGGCTGAGGATGGCTCTTGGGAAGGTCTCCTCATACTGTGAAGATGAGGCCTTAACAATCAACTACCAGAAAACTAAGATAGTTGCCTTTGGGCACAGAGCAAAAGTTCTGTCCTGGTGGATTAATGGCCACCACATCAAGCAAGTTAACAACTTCAAATATCTTGGGATAGTTTTCCAGGTTTCAGGTTCCAGGCTTCAATACAGTAAATATACAGGAGATCAAGGAGAAAGATCTACAAATAGAACAGAAAAATTCCATCACTCTCAAGGAGGATTCTTTGTTCCAGCAGCTCTCAAACTTTATAAAGCCAAGGCATTAGCCCAACTGTTATATGGTTCATTCCTGAGGCCACCTAGCTCCCATTTTGCACCACAGAAAACGATCTTATAGTTCCCTTGATGTGTGTCAAATGCCTGGGTAAGATTGGAGACAGGTTGGCAAAAAGTTGAAGCTCGATCAGCATCTTATAGATATACATACATATGAGTAAGGACTTATATATATATACACACACTTGTATTTGCATGTTTTCAAACTGCTAGGTTGGCAGGAACTGGGACAAGCGACAGGAGCTCACTCCGTTGCGTAGATGCAATCTTACTACTGATGGTCTTCTTACCTTGCAGCACAGAGGCTTCTGCAGTTGAACCCACAACGCCACCACATCCCCTATATGACTAAAGGGATATCTAAATCCAGAAGGTCTATTTCCTTCAATATTTTATGACAACTTCCAGTTCAACAGGGTCAAGTCTGTCCAGAGCTACTTGTTCAAAACTGGCCTTTCCCTTCAGGTGCTTTTATCTTATGGAACAGTTCAGGCAAAAAATACTAGTAAAACACAACATTGAAGACCTAGAACATAAAACTGACTTTTCTAGCA